AAAACTTGAAATCATCAATAGTTGGTACTTTCATCATATTTATACCTAAAAAGGGTATTTGTCCAAGATCCAAATTATGTACTGGAATTCATTTTAAGTTATCAAAACGTAAAGTAATACATACTCTGAAAATTTTGAGAAAATCAAGTTTGTTCAAGCATCATCAAATTTGTCAAAATTTCTTTTGTTAAAAATGCCAAGTTTCAGAAATAAAATTTTGGTGTTCCCAAAGTTTAAATTTTAGTTTTTTAACATGTATGTCTTTGTTCTTAAAATGTAGAATACTGGTTGTTTAGGAACATTTGTCAAACACAAATGTGGGGTGTGTGTGTGTGTATGTATGTGTTGATATTTATAGTTTGGTCAATTCAAGTATATTCCAATAAAGTCCAGGAGTACCTTGTCTTATGGCTGGGCTGATTCTTACTTTGGAAGCACAGCAAAAATGTGCAGGTTTTCCTACTTTTTGTCCATTAACAAAATTTAAAAAATCACATGTACACTTTCCTATATTTAAGTGCCTGAATATTTTGACCTCATAATACCATGAAAATAGAAAAGCCTGGTCCACTTCATCTTGTGTTTAGTTGGATGGGTTTATTAATTCGTGTTAAGATAAAAACATTCATTATACAACATCCAACAGCAAAAATAAGTGCTTTATGTAAAGTGTCTGCACGTACAGACACTGCTTCCTTCAGAGGACCAAAAGCCAGACGTGATGGCACATGCCTGCAATCTCAGCACTTGGGAGACTCAGGTGAGAATATCAGGAGTTCAAGGCCAGTCTGGGCTACATAGAGGGAGCCTATCTCAAAAAACAAAACAAAACAAAAATCCAAACAAAAAACAGAATCGAGTAAACAATATTTAGAGAACAGAAGTTAAATGGATTTACTTGTATTTGTATTAATATGTAACTTTAACTCTGCTATATAAATTGTTTTCATCACCAAAATTTAGCCATACTCTCTTTAAAAACTAAGTAATCTTTATGTGTTTCCCTTCTACTCAAACTACCATACCTAACCTGATCACATACATATGCAGGATCAGATATTCAGTCACCCATAAACCTTTACTCCATGTGTTTAGAAATGGTTCCCATTCATTTTGAAAGGACAGATTGTGTTGTAATAGATAATTTTTAATTTCCCCTTATAATTACCTTCCAAGATCCTTATTTATTACATGTTATATACTTATTACTTCTCATGTAGTCAAATTGAGGGCCTGTTAACATAAACAATTTTAAAATTATATTGAATTAGATGAAAAACTTCAATAATTTGAAGTCTAGCTTTATCTGAAAGGGACAAGCAAAAGTCTTAAAATGACTTTTTTAGTTAAAACACTCAAAATATAGTCCTCTCAGCATGTATCACCATGTTATGCACTGTTCAATCATAAAAGGTTATTAATAAAACATAATTCTTACAACTAATGTTTTGTTACTGTTTTTTTCCTAAAAGCTGTTACCTCAAGCATTCATATAAAGCTTTGAAAATTAAATTTTACTTTTGATAGTTAATATTAAAGTTTTTAAAATTCATATATTAAAAAAATTATGTTTATTAGTTTTTCTACTTGTGTCATTTACTACAGGTAACATATGCATTATACAGATTACATTAAGATTTTTAAGTGCAATCTTACTATAAAACACTGTGTTTATAACTAGTAATAAGGAGTTTTCACTTCAAATAAGTTGTACTATTATTTTTGTGTTATGCTCATAGAAAAAAGAACTAAAAGACACAAAACAAATAGAAAAGGAAAAGATAAATTTGCATAAGGAATGTGAGACGGTCTTTTTGTCTTTCCATTTAAAAATATAAGCAAACAAATTTAGCAACGCAGACATCCCTTTGGCAAAACTACATCACAAAAATGTTGCTCATTTAAATAAAGGTTAATTTTAAAGTTCACATCATAGAACATGCATTGTCTTTTTCTAGTGCAGGATTTTCTTAATCTGCATTGGTTTCTATCATACTCAAGTCATTCCACAGAGCAATGCTGATGGAAAAACTGATTTTTTGTCACACTGCTTGCCAAGTATTTTGAACTGACACCAGCATTGACTAATGATGGTGCTGGAATGTGCTGTTCTCAGTAGAATGGAGGCCCATACAGACCTAGGAGTATCCTGGGGTCCAGCTTCTGTCCATCCAGGGGCTGGTGCCATACAACAGTGAATGATGTTCAGAATGAACAAGCTGTATTTCCTCCAGGCTGGCTTTTCGACCTTGAATTCGCTGAAAGAAAACAGCAGAAACCTACAGTACTCCACTGACAACATTTAGAAGAAAATGAGACCTCAAGTCATATTTAAGATGATTAATAGTGAGCTGAGTTTCATCATGCAGGAATGTGACACTGATTTGCTTTGTAAAGTACCATAATAATACTTGAAAAATGAGCATATGCAAGGTTCAGATCCAATGGAGTTGCTTATGCCTAAATAGGCAACTGACATGAAGCATATTCTGCTTTGACATAAAAATAAATCTATAACAAAGAAATTAATAGTTGACTTGTTTGAAAAATGTCAGCTTAAAGATAAATTACTGTTTAGTTGATAAGCAAAATTATTACCATCTTATTTTACACTTACCTGAAAAAGTTGTTGAAGCAATTCACTTACTTTTCCTTAAAGGACACAAGTAAATACCACAACATTTGGAATGTATTTGATTATCAAAGTATGCTAATCACTTCACATGTGTGCACCACACAGTATTATCACTCGAGAGCATGATACTCAAAGCCTGTCCCCTGAGATCCATAACAGGTCAGAATCTGTTTATCAGTGGTCTGACTTGAGGTCAGTACAGAAATTTGGAGTAAATATTTAGAAACTTACATGGCAATTTGACAGTACTTTTATGTCCTATGAACCTAATAAAATCTTGTATGTCTTTTTATTTCACTCTTGCACTATTGCATTTTAATGTATTTTATAAAGTGTTAGTCTATGGCAGATTGGAAATTAAACAGGAACAAAAACTGCTGTTTAAACAGAGATAATATGAGACATTCTTCATAGACTCAATTTTTTACACTCAGGCCAGGCAGAGACTTCCACTCTATCCAACAAAGAATGTCCTTTCAACATAGACAGAACAGTGCATCAAATGAAACCTCAATTAGCCAACATACAAAGAGCTTTTCCTGGCCACATTTCTCAACGCTTGTATGTGCCACTAAACATCACACTAATTAACCTCCACTTTCAGAAATTTTTGTGTTTCCTCAAACTACATAGACAGTTTTAATGTTTCACTTAAAATATGAATCTTCATGGGGCAGTGATAAGGTAATACATAAGTATAGAACTCCAGTGAAAGTCAAAGCGATTCTGTCCAGGCGGTGCTCTCCTCTCATAGTCCTAATCATAGAACCACCAGCTGACTTGGAAGCACACCTCTCTCTGGACCAGTACAATTCCAAATTCACCCTCCTTAGTACTAGGTGACAGGGCTTGCAGCAGGTTGCTGATTCTCGATGTGCGGCTCACTGAGGGGCAGGCCAGGAGAATGTCTATGTACTGACACAGGGGTTTACTGGGCAGGAGGCAGGGTTGTGCTTGTCATTAAAATAAATGACCAAGTCACAGTAAGGGATGAATGGTGGGGACTACTAAGGTAACAGGAAGAGAGTGATGTAAAACAGAATCTCTCTAAAACAGTCTGTATGTGCCAAATAAACAAACAAATACTTGTGGAATTTTCTTTGCCATAGACAGCATTGAAGTTCCCCACTTTTGACATCCAGCATAGTGTAATGTAATTCACATTTCTAAAAAATAAGAATATTCTTTAGAGAAATTATTTTTAGGTAGGTAAGATAAGAGGCCTAACATCGAATACTAAAGCAAATTTAATTATGGCCTTGTAGTCAGCCATTGTTCTGCTCAATCTCATTGAACTAAGTGTCTTGCTGGTAAACATGAAATCTGAACAAGTTTATGGGAGACTAAAACAACCAAAGAAGTAGAATGGCAAGTAAAAGATAAATGAGCAAGAGAAAGTTGAAAGTCAGTATTAAAGGGAAAGGTTTTAACTGTAAGATTTTGGTAGGTGGAAAATCCACCAAGATAAATAGTGGTAACTCTATGGTTTAAATCATGTAGAACTGGAATGAGCAGAGCACCGAAAACAGACTGTGACAAGTCCTAGTCTGGCATAATAACGAACACCAGGAAATAAAAAAGGGCTTCCAGCTTTCATTTCCATGCTTCTGTAAAATCCACAGCCACTAATACATATGCTGATGTGGTGAACCATTGGTATCTTAAACCATGTCAATCTATAACTAAAAGTCAGATCCACATTTTGACTACTATACCAACATACACTTTCATCGAAATTTTTTCCCTCTCTCCTTTCTTATTAAGTGTTTTTTCAGTTGATTTTTTTTTGTGTCTGGTATAACATTAAGTATCAATAATTATAAATCTATCTTTATATTTTCATACACCCATCACAGAACTTACATAGCATGCACTCCATGATTCCCCTAAGTAATTTTCATATTCTCCCACAATCCTAAGTAGCATGCCAGATGAGTGCTCAATCACACATTTGAACAATAATCAGCAAACAAGATTCACTGTAATTGACAGAGTAGCTCAAATGTCGGCAAATCAGAAAAGGGCACCTGCTGAATTGCACTCATCCCCTTGTATAAGATCAGTCAATTGGCAGAGAAGATAGAACATCTGGCCCTGCTTTCTTGCATTTCCTTATTCTGAGTATCTGCTTCTCGTTCATATTCTAGTCTTCATCTCACTATTAAAATGCACTACTCATAAGTTTTAACTTTGATTTCTCTTTTTTCCCTTCTCTTTCTACTGCCTCTGTCTCTCAGAAAGTATTTTACACTGGCTGTTTTGATAATTATAATAAAGATTTCTTGAAAAACAGTTGTACTTAACATAAGGAAGTTTTGAGACAAGGTCTTGCTATGTAGCCCAAGCTAGCCACAAACTCTCGATTCTCTTGCTACAGCCTCCTCAGTGCTGGAATTCCAGGTGTGTGCCACCATGTCCCACCAGGAAGTACTCATTCTTGATATTCACCATTTGCTTCCACAGCTGCTAGAGAGCAAGGACACAAACATAGGGCATGTTTCCTCAGAAACAATTCAGTATGAACGACATTTCTACCTATAAAACGAACCTAGACATAACATATTTTGAGATTTTTATGTTTTGGTGTCACTACTAAGGGAACATGGTGGATGACTTAAGCTAAGAATTATAAAATTACAACCAGTTTCTTTCATTCTTAACACACAGGACCACCTGGATTATTTTTTGCTTTGCCTCATTTTTATCAGATGTCCTACATTTGTCACAATGAACTTTCCTCTCTTACTGAGATCTGGCCCAAAAGTTTCCATTTTCACTTTGTCATTCCTTTGTTTAGGCATACCCATAGATACTCTCATTTCATCCTGACTCAATTTTTTTTTTCTATTTCCTCTGTATCATTTATTCCTTTTTTTCTCTCTCAAGATTCTCTCTAGAGTCAAGTCTATTGCATAATGACTCACAAAATAGGGTGACGTACTCTATCTAAATTTATCTAAATTTAGGGAGATACTGGTTTCCATTCTTAGAGGTATTGGTCTGCAGGATGTCTACATAAAGTCACATATGATGATGTTCTGACTAAAACGATTTTTGAGAATTCTAGGCATTTTAAGACACAATGCATATGAGGGCTGGAGTTCATCTGGGGCGTTCTCACTAAAGATCAAATACAGATCATGAATAGTTTACCAATATCAACCTAGGAACAGAAAATGATAGCTCTCCTTTCATCCTCTTAATAAAGAAACAGTGTGAGGTAGGATTGTTTTTTGTTACATTATCACTCTCTGTGAATTGCACTGTCTTCCCTGAGAGGAGAAATGAGGTAATGATGTTCAATGAGTGCTTACACTTTTCGCAGGAATATGAATGCATTCAGTCCAGACCACCAGTTTGTCTTCAGGTTGGAAATTTGAAAAAAGTCATTAAAAATCACCATATCATTGAGTCACATGATGCAGTATGGTTCTTTCCTAAAGAAATAGTCTTTCTGAAACAAAGCTTGTTAATGCAACCTGATTATAGAAGGAATGTTCTGAACTTGATCTACAAAGTCATACTGTGACAGGATAAAATGCAGCCGACCCACACCCACCCACACACAGTGCACACACACGGTATAGATTCACATTTTTTTCTGCCAAGGAGCAGGGAAAAAAGGAAACAGTTCTATTCCTTCCCCTCCTGTCTTCAAAGCCTGGATTGAGGCCAGTGTCCTAATCAGTTCTCATTGGCCCTGGAGGAATCAGAACCTTTTGTAAAATATAATAAAGGGCATAAAATCATGATAAAATGCATGAAAAAGCAGTGCCTTTGGTTAAGGAACTAGAAATAATTTAGCAGAACAGATGGATTGCATTGGTTTGGTATTACTAAGGACATGAAAGTGCTCATTTTGTGGCAGTTCCAAACGAAGAGAAAATGTCCAACTTAAATTTGACAAGTCAAAGTACCTGCCTCCACTGGGAGACTCCATTTTCTTTAATCATTTTCAAAGTAGTGAATATTAGGCAAGAATTTCTACTGAAATATCTGATTTTCTGAAAATATTTTATCCATTGTCTCCAAATATAGGGATGAGTTTTTCTTTCTTTCTCCAAAAATCTATAGCACTACAAACATTCAGAGTTTTTTTTTTAAAGACTATAAATGACTTAGTATAAAATTGCCTTCTGGTACTTAATATTTAATGAGTCAATTCATGATCTATTGATTATTCCTCATATACCTTTTTCTCTTAAAACAAATACAAAAATGTAGTCTCATTGTTATGCCCAAGCATACCTACTGGAGTTTCCAAATGCTACAATCATTTCTTTGACTATTTCATTAAAGATCCTTTTTAAAACTTAAGCTCTCCCAGCACATAATCTCTTTTCATATAGCCATCACTATATAATAACCTCATCTCAGAGTTTTTCTCATGAAGTGAGGTAAAACGAGGAAGGTACTTTCTGTTGGTCACATGGAAAGAAAGTAAACTGCATATTGCAAGCCCTCAGTTTTTTCCTGACTCTTGCATGGATTAATGTGCCTTCAACCAACAATAAGACATTTCTACAGGCCTTTTGTTTCTTCATTGGCATACAAAAGAAGGTTTGACTAAATTACTTTGAAGTTTCCTTTAGCTTTAAAAGATAAGATTCTGTGTGAATAAAACTTTACCACAATAAAAATTCAAGAAAATACACTTTATTTTAATTTATAAATTTGCCTTAGGCAAGCAAATATAATTGCAAAGATATTACGATGCTTAAGGCAAGAGAAGAGACCTATGAGGAATTTCAAAAGTAATACAACTCTTTCTTGAGGTCCATTTCTTCTAAGTATAATAACAATTGAACAACGAGAGTATTTTTTCAGAGTTTATATACCTACTTTACAACAACTTCAAATAATAAACATTTTTACCAATTCTTAAATTTCTTTGGGTATACTACTTCTGTTTTGGTTTGTGGTTTTGCTTTTTGTGGTGCCGGGGACTAAAGTCAGTGTACACCAGGCAAGCGCTCTACCACTGTGCTCCATCCCCAGCCTGCACTTCTGAGTTAATACCTCCTTTGTGTCTCAGGAAAATATTTACTTCTGTTACTCTTCCATTTGAAAATATTTTATCAATTTGCCTGTTTCTCTCTCCCTTCTTGACCTCATGTTAAGAAACTGAGTTTGTGCTGTAATAGTTCTTAACATCAGCTACATCTTGGAATCAGCTGGGAAAGCTTAAGAGGCATGGTTACCCAGGTCCTACGTCCAGAGTCTGATTAACATTGGGTACAGCCTGGGTACCAGATGCTTGGAACCGTCCAGTGGATTCTAATAGGCAACTTAGGTCAAGAGCTACCTTCTAGAGTAAGCAGTGTGTTTTTCCCACTCCTCAGTGAATTCAAGATACTGGCACTATAATGACCACCATTTGGGGCCATGGAATAGTCAAAATATGATTAAGAGTTCTCTCTTGTCTATAAAATATTAAGTGACTTCCTCTTGCCTTAACATTGCTTCATTCATTCATTACTATTCATTTAAAAATATTTCAGGGCAAAAAGAAATTGCTAAAACTAGCAAATGAACTATGTATGTTTTTAAACTTTGATTTCTAATTTTTCTGATCACCAGAAAGCAAGAAAAAAATGCTATTCCTTACTTTAGCTGCTCAATTTTCACAATTTTAATGCAACTGAATCTCCTACTTTGTTATTATTTTTTAAAGTTATGAACAAGTATTTTAATCATTTAAAGCATTGACTTTTAAAATTGTAATCATTTATATAACAAAGTTCCTTTAAACAAATATTTTCTTACTTGAACACTGTAATTTTCAAATGGCTGAATGATATACAACTCTTCACTTTTATTAATAAGCCTTAATGCTGCTGTTTAAGAAACATTTTTAAGAAAGCCTCTTAGTGCTTATCACAGGCTATGTCCTTACACTGTTTATATATATAAAGAAGAGGGAAATTAAAACTACCCCATATACACTTCAACTCAGGCTCTGTGCTTGGTCTATATTGTGAATGGGAAGACATGGAATGGGTGGGAAAAAAAAAAAAAACGAAATCCTTTATCACTTCCAAATGGACTCAGAGGGGCAGTCTCTCTTATTTCATTTTGTTGGGTTTTTCCTATATTAATAGTTCCTTTAGAGCAGAATTTTAAAAATTTCTACATCATCTAAATTCTGACTATAAGCTACAGTAGTACTTTTGATATACTTATCTGCTAGAATACTCCACTGTGACATGCACCTGTCTCAGAGCAATGGCATTATGTACCCTACCTTCCTCATTACCTGCAGACCATTTTCATTGCTTCCCCAAACTGCCTCCCATATACTACAGCAGCAATTAATAGGACACCCTGTTTGAATTTCTTACTGCTTTGTGGTTAGATTCTAAAACACAAACACATTAAAATTGGGTGTGTGTGTGCAAACTAAACAAAACAACAAAACAGTAAGCTGTTGCATGCTGCCTCTAGTTAGACTGCTCTATAAAGCAAATGTTTAATTGAATTTCCATTAACTTGCAGTGTTCAGTGCTTTTCTGTCTTGATATCAGAAAACCTGCACATTCCTAAAGTGTTTCTCCATAGAGTGATATACTTTCTTATCCAGTTTTTAAAAATGTATTTCTAAGTCATTTGCATATTCAGGAAAGTGTACTGGAGATCCCATCCCTGAGCACTAAACTTGCTCTTCACTTTTCTCTTTAGAACTGCTGATAATGTCCCAGAAGGGGTAACAGTAGCTTGGTTTCAAGTCCCAGAATTGTTTGGTAATTATTTTGTGTTGGCGCTTGAATAAAAGAGTTAAATATTTCAGCACAGTATGTTGCTTACGGTTTTTACTTATGAATTAAGCAAAACAAAGTTATTCAATATTAGTCACAAAAAGGCAATGCAAATTCCACATAATGTATAATCCAACAAAAGCATTATAAAATGTTATTATTCTCAAAACAAATTTGAGAGCAAGCAAATGTCTGTGGGTGGCTTGGTGGGGCTGGGAGTTATGAGCACCTCTGGAAAAACAAATCCAAGTGCATTTCTTACAGATGATGGGTCAATCTGCATTTTTTTTTTTTTTTTTAGCTCAGAAGAGTTCATTCCTCTCTTTAGGAGCACATACACTTTGGAAACCAGGGCACATAAACCAAAGACTGCTTTTTAACAGGAGTCCAAATGGCCCCTCCAGTTTCATTTCTCATGGTCACCAGAAAGCTGCTGCTTTTACATTTTGTTCCCAACAAAATCACTAAGCAAAATATGAATGATTCAATACGGGAAAAAATGAAATGGTATTGGCATGAAAGACTACTAACCACCTCAACTTTTTAAAAACATTGTCAAGTTATATCAAATGAAGTTCAATCCTGTAACCATGGTAACCTGATATAATAAGAACTAATGTTTTCTCTGGCTGCCTATCAGAACAAGTCGGCCGGGCCAATTTGTACTATACCTTAGAAAAAGCAATGGGTTTACAAAAGCATCCTAAATAT